AATTTTTTTGTATTATTACTAATTCCATGGTATAATAACAGGATCGGGAGAAGCACAAAAGAAGGAATAGGATCGACTATATATCTAAAAGTTGGAGTTCAGTGCAGCGGGAAAATAAATAAATTATTACACCGATATTTTGTTTGATCCCTTGAATTTTAAACTTTCTATATATTCTGCTATTGTCTAAATTTTAAGCATGCACAGTGCTACCGGTGTTTCGCCGGTGCTTCTTAGTCGCAGCAGACCTCTAAGGGATAAAAAGGGTGGAAAGAGATATAGTCCCGCGTGGGTAATTGCTACCTCGGTGCCCTGGTGAAAGCAAAGTGTCCTTGCTTTTTGTTATTTGGGGTACGATTAGAAGCGAGTTTGGCGGTGTCGGAGACACGGTTGAAGTTTGTGGCGAAGTGGCTAGGGTCAAGTTTGGCAGCGATTGGCCCAAGCTAGAGTACGCCGGCACTTGGACACTCAACGTGTTAGGCGTCGGTGACTTACTCAGCGGGTATCGTCTATTATCAAATTTGTTAGGACTAAAATAACGGTTAAACGTTGGTCAGATTGCATATAATAAACACTTATTCGTGTTAAACTCGTTAAACATTCGTTGTTGGTATCCCGTACGTTTACCTTATTTGCAACGGTCTATGATTGTGGCCAGAACTGTCGCCACCTTCCTCGGATGATACGCTCGAGGCTCGCGGTGGCTCGCTCGTTTCCACGCTGATATTTCTGCTTGGATTATAACTAGGGAGAAAAGTGCTGCTTCCCGGTGAAACGCCTTCCATCTCTATACTTCCACTGGAAGCGGTTTCATGGCTATTAGTGCTTGCAAACCTTTGATATCCCGAGCTACCTCTCCCTTTTCGATCCGTTTTCGATCAGGCTTGAGCCTATTACCTGTGACTGTGGGCGAGGCTGCTCACCCTTGACGCCCGGCTACTCCCTCGAGGCGTTTTTGGGATCCCCTCGCATTCCTCTGCTTCGTACTCATCACCGAGAAAACTGCTATGTTGTCTAGTGACCGTGGTCAAGTTCATCGTGTTGCCAAGCGGTGGCACTTTCATTAACGCAAATTGTTGTTGAGCTTTCCTGATCGATTCCATCCAAGACTGTAAAAAGTTGGATGTATATATATATATATACATGGATATGAAAGAAAAAAAGTATAAGTTTCATGGACGAGGAGTATGTATACCTTGGCCAATTTCGATTCTCCGGCGCTGAGAACCAGAGCAGCTGATGCCGCCCCATATTCGTTCAGATAAACCAAGCCTAAACTGGTTGGCTCCTTCAGCTCGTGTATTCGGATACGATCGATTACGTACGGTTGTCTTATAATCTTCAAACCGCCCCCCACGGTGCCAGTCAGCCCACTGGAAGTTTTCTTGGTCGACGGTTTGCAGATCAATAGCATGTCTGTCAGCAACAATATGTGTACTTCCATCTGTATAAAAAGAAGAAGGTTCAAAGTTTGCTTTTTTGATTTAAAATTTTTACATTAAAACGGTATTATTATTCGATTACCTTGCTGCTAACGGCGTCTCTTAATTTTAAATCTCCCTCGCGAAGAAGTACTCTAAGGGTGTCTTTCGGACAACCCGGTATTGGAACCGTGGTAATATCAAACGTGCTGTGAATTTTAATCAGTTTCTCCAATTCTTCGTCTCTCGATTCGACCACATCGTAACTTTCTATTCGAGATGCAGCGCTGGCCAACCGCGCTGTCTCCTCGTTCCTCTTCAATGCTGCATTCACAGACGCCACGAAGTCGTCTACAGATTTGATCTGTAACAGTTTCTAAAGTAAAATAACAATCATATAATACTAGTGTATTTGTGATGATTTCCTTTACCATATGAGTCAATTCTGCTCGTTGCTCCTCGTTCTCCGTGTTCTTGTGAACAGCCTTCAAGAGCAGAGAATACTTCGTCAACCTCTGCATAGGTTTCACCAGTATGTCGAGCAGTTTCAATCGATTGCAATCCTTCTGAGTCTCACACCACTAAAAAAAGAAACGAAGAATGAAGAAAAAAAGAAAAAAGAAAACGTTTTAAGAAACTTAACTGGAATGGAAACTTTAATTTTTCCTTTTAAAAAAATTCTCACCACCAGATAGACCGTAAATAATTGATTATCGTTGAGACGGTCTCTGCAGTATTGCTGACATTTGCTTTGCTCCGCGCAATATCTGGTGTAGGGTGCGAAGGTTTGCTCGAACGTCTCGAAACCTTGCAGAAGGTGGCCTGGTTCGAGCGGTTGTCCAGTGGTCCTCGACGTATTTACCATGGCTAGGACGTACTCGGTCCAGAAGTAGCGATTCGCGGCGTAGATCTCGGGGATGTTACTGAATAGCTTCGTCCTGTCGACCTCGTTCAGGATATTCGAGGCCTGCAGGCTGCAGAGGCACGCCATAAACAGCTAAAGTGTTAATAAACGTTGTTAAGAATAATGGAAATTCGATATCGTAAAATATATATGAAAAATATTTTTACAAAAAAAAAAAACATAAAAAGATACTTACGTCTGTCACAACCTTTAAAGTCTTGATATAAGCCACTTCCGTTTGAGCCAATTCCCATAAAGCAGTCTGTTGTTGCTGTTGTTTCTCCGATAATTGATCCGAGTTTTGAACGATGTCGCGCCAATCTTGTTCTAAGTACAAGGCTAAAATTGAAAAAAAAAAAAAAAAAAAAGAATTGATATACAAAAATATAATCGATTAATTTTCTTTGTATTTTCTTTTCAGCCTGGAACTTTCCGAGAATACGAGCAAGTAACATCGTCCGTTCAAAATCACAATTGTACGTTCACGAACGACACGTGAAGTGTTACTCACAGGGGAGATTGTATAATATTTTTCTCATGTGTATATTTTGTCGACAATGTATAAAAAAGAAACACCCATCGATCCCCAGCGTTATAAATATGTACATTAAACGTCTCGCAGTGTAAGATAATTTATTGGATAAAAGTATAAGTTTGTACAGAATATATATATATATATATATCTCTATCTCATTTTATAAATTAAATCTTAAAGATGCTGCAGACGAGATCTCACGAATCATTGATTGCTAACTAACCGTTACTGACCGCTAAGTAATTAAGATATAATCTCGAACACTGTACTTCAAGAACATTGAAATCGACGAGATTCCCTAAACTAATTATCTTCAACACTTTCACGATGATTCGAAAGTTTCCTTACCATCTTCGTTAAAGGCGAGCTCGTATGACAATTGTGTATCCTTGGGAACCCCATGCTTGTTATAATCGTCCAGCAGAGAGGTGAGTAGATCAAGTTTTGTGCCCTTCGTGTTGGTGAAGAAGCCGCTCCATCGCTGTTTACTAGGTTTGAGCCCCGCAGCCCCAACGGAGCTCCGACCAGATGTGAGCGTGGTGCTGCTTCCGACCTCGGAGTCAACGCTCGAGTCTTCCGTCGAGACGCTGAAGAAACGACCGCTGCGGCTCCGATAATTCTGCGAATATTTTCGGTACGTTTCTCTGATAATAAATGAAAAACTATAAATAGCGAAGTTATTCTCGTCAAGACTCGTTAATGGACTTGTGAACCGAGTGAGAAGACCGTTTGGTTCGATTAACCAAACTTGGTTCCTAACTTAATGATGAACGGTTTAATTTCCGACATCGACCAGAACTGCGTTTGTTATGGAACAATGTTAAACGAAGGAATGATCTTTCTTCAAGCAAGTTGTAACAATTTATGATACGAAGCTGGCTGATCACATTTTATTTTATATAAAATTATATTACGAGGTGAAATAATTATTTGAAACTATTATTATGGATGGAAAATATTTTATAAATATAGAATATTAGAATATTTTTAAATATTCAAAAGAAATTAGATATTAAGGGAAATCTAATAGGAAATGCATATACGTGTCAATAATTCGTGCTTCTCCCTCCACCATGATTAAATATTTGATCGAGAAGTTCGAATACATGATTGAAGTAATTGGAAGATCGACATATATGTACCATCTGGGAGTTAATTAATGACCAGTGAGGGTTATAACACACGGTTCAAAGATACTTATAAATCAAATGTTACGTATATATTATTACCATCTATCGTCAGCCAAGGATAATTTCTCATCTATGCCAATGAGAGATAATAAAAGACAAACTCAATTCAGATTATTAACCATTAATTAAACATAAAAATAAATTCATAGATCTCTTGTAAATCGCATATTAATTATCTCATCCCTATAACGTTGCAACACAAAATCATACGCAAGATATAAGATACAAAAGTAAAACATTTTATTATTAAGAAACCACGAACAGATCTCGTTATTATCCACACTGTATTGCAGTAAAACGACTCCATCACTAAATCAACGAGAAGACCTCATTAGTCGAATTCAGTATCGCTGTCAAACGTTCATTTCGAATATATATATCCCTAACACAGGATATAGACAAACAAACCTCGATATTACCCGCGTCGAAAATTGATGAGGCAATCGGCCGACCTTCTCACCTCGTTACAATCCCGCTTCGTGATAGAAGGATTAGCGTCGACTATCGACCGTCGACCTTCTTTATAGACATCGGTCGATCGAGGATCGTTCCCCGAGGAGCGGGTCAAGGTTCAAAAAAAAAAAAAAGAAGAAAAAATGCCACGATGTCGCCGCATTGGCCGAGATTATTAAAAAACCACGTACTTACCTTCGATCGAAGAAGATCGAAAGAAAGGAGCTTATATATATATATATATAGCCGCATAATGAGCAATCTCGCTTCGATATTCGAACATCCACGGGATACAGAGATTACAGGGACGAGCAAACGATTCGTTTGAATCATTTTTAGAAACGTCATCCGCGCTAATTAAAAAATCCGTGGCAATTGAAACGGAACGAGCAACGACGGTCGTCGGTTGGATGAGGATAGAGGAGGAGGAGGAGGAGGAGGATGGAGGAGGGTTGGATTCGTCTCGAGGGACGCAAGAAGAGGGGACAAGAGAAGAGGTTCTTCGAGTTATCGACTGTGTCCTCGGTGTTGCCTCTGGGACGGGGAAAGTGTTCAAGGTTCCATTACAGGGATTAAACGGCGCCCAGTTTTCCTTTCGGTTACGAAGATGGATATAGAAAATTCTTACCCCGCTTGGCTTTCTCAAGGAGACGCTCTGGTTGCTTCTCTGGCTCGACGATCTCGAGTTCGATTTTTCGTTGTCCTTAACTGGAACAGAAAACGGGCTGTCAGTTGTTTCCAATCCATTTTGGAATACGTAAAGTTTCTCTAAAACGATCCAGAAGTTGTAGTTTCCTTTTGCACGATCGTTTGTCATGCGTTTCTGGCATCACACGATCGATTCATACTCGGGAAAAGAGGGAAGGAGAGTAAGGTGAACTGCGATCGTTCTTTAAACTTTGTCCGCGGTGGAAAAAGTTGCTTGAAAAAGATTTTTGGTAAGTTCGATCGTAGGAAAGAAAAATAATCGAACGGCAAAAATATTAGATTAGATTTTTCTTTGAATCATTTATTGAATCGATGAATCAACGATAAGAATTTTATCAATCTTCCAAATGCAAATCTCTGATTTTCTTTCAAAACGATTTAAAAAAAAATTATTTAGATAAGATAGATTATTTTTCCAAACGCTTATATTTTTTTTCTATTGAAAATCCTGTTGGGTAAATGTGATATTAACTGTGTTCAATGATCCGTAAAAAATTTTTTTCTCCCTTAATCGATATCCATTTAAATTGAAGAAAGAGATTTAACAAGTGGCACGAATCGATCAAATTCAATCAAATTGAAAAAAAAATATTTCATCTGCAAAAGCGATTAATGCGACTGATTATTTCTGATCGATATATATATATATATATA